GGAGCCTGATGCGGGACTCGATCCAGGGACTCCAGGATCATGACCTGAGCCGAAGGCAGTCGCTTAACCAACTGAGCCACCCAGGCGCCCTCATTTCTCTTTAGGTAAAGTTGATTCTCTGTTTAGAAGGAGACTCCTATCTGAAGATACATTTTTCCTTATTCCATTTCTACACTATTCACCACAATGAGTGCAGTGAGGCCCCTCCAGGACTCAAGTTTAAAAAGTTACAAAACAAGCAGGTAATTGTTGAGATGAAATCAGCAGAAGTCATACCAAAAGCCAGAAGTATTCCAGGTGAAAAACAGCAAGGGTGGGGCAAGAAAATATAAAGACGGAGAAGGCACTAACTTAGTCAACAATGAAGGGCATTTGTGAACACAAAGGAGAGACAGCGTGTGCTAGGGCAGGCAGGAGATCCAAGGTTCCAAGACCAGATAGTGGACTGCTGGCAACAGAGATGTAGGTTTTGTTCGTTAATCCAATGACTAGCCCCATGCTTAGCGAACAGGCCCTGGCATCCTGCCTGATTGCAGGAATATTCCCAATGGGATAAAGCTATCTAGTATCTAGGGACGCCTGGGTGGCTCAGTTGGTTAAGCGGCTGCCTTCGGCTCAGGTCATGATCCCAGGGTCCTGGGATTGAATCCCGCATCCGGCTCTTTGCTTAGCGGGGAGCCTGCTTCTCCCTCTGTCTGCCGCTTCCCCCGCTTATGCTCTCTCCATCTCTCTCTCTCTGACAAATAAATAAAATCTTAAAAAAAAAAAAAAGCTATCTAGTATCTATAGTCCAATGCCAAAAACCATTAAGATGATCCACCTCCACTAAAAAATAGGAAGATATTGAAACTAGGAAGCAGAGGATATAATTCAGGACAGTAGGGAAGTCAGACGCTGGATGACAGCTGAGGCCCAGGCAAGTCTGGAGAGAGAAGACCGAGGGGTCAAGGAAGGTTCCCCAGGGAAAAAATGGTAATCTGAGATTTGACACTATCCCTGGTAATTTAGGACAACTTAAAGAAGCAGAGGGGTGCCTGGGTGCCTCAGTCAGTTAAGCGTCTGCCTTTAGCTCAGGTCACAGTCTTGGAGTCCCAGGATTGAGCCCAACCATCAGGCTTCCTGCTCAGCAGGGAGTCTGCTTCTCTCTCTGCCCCTGACCCCGCTCATGCTTGTCTCTCCCTCTCTCAAATGAATAGATAAAATCTTTAAAAAAAAAAAAAAAAAAAAAACGGGGCACCTGGATGGCTCAGTTGATTAAGTGTCTGCCTTCAGCTTGGGTCATGATCCCAGGGTCCTGGGATCGAGCCCCACATCAGGCTCTGCTCAGAAGAGAGTCTGCTTCTCCCTCTCCCTCTGTGATCTGTCTTGATTTCACTCTCTCTCAAATAAATAAATAAAATCTTCTAAAAAAAAATTAAAAAAAAAAAGCACAAAGCACAGATAATGCAAGGAGAAAGGGAATACAACTGGAAATTTTAAAAAAGGCAAACAATCACAATGGCAATCATATTACAATATATAAATTTATCAAAACAACATGTTGTACACCTTACATTTACACATGTTCTATGTCAAATTTGTTTCAGTAAAAAAGAACAAACAGTTGACAAGAAAGGAAACATAATCATAGCATGTACAGGAAATTTTTTTTTAAAGATGTTATTTATTTATTTATCTAGCTATTTATTTATTTATTTTAGATAGATCTCACGCTTGTGAGCAGGGGAAGGGGCAGACGGGGAAGGAAGAGGACAAGCAGACTCTGCACTGAGCACAGAGCCTGATATGGGGCTGGATCTCACGACCCTGAGATCATGACCGGAGCTGAACTCAAGAGTCGGATGCTCAACCTACCGAGCCACCCAGGCGCCCCAGAAAATTTTATAATAATTTATTGCATTATGTTGGGAAAAGAGGTGAAGGAGATGGGGCTAGAAACTGAGCAAGTATCATAGTAAGATGTCCACAAATAATTTCTAAAATGAATATATCAAGGGATGCTTGGGTGGCTCAGTCGGTTAAGGATCTGCCTTCGGCTCAGGTCATGATCCCAGGGTCCTGGGATTGAGTCCCGCATCGGGCTCCTTGCTCAGTGGGGAGTCTGCTTCTCCCTCTACCTGCTGCTCCCCCTGCTTGTGCGCACGCTCTCTCTCTCTCTGACAAATAAATAAAATCTTTTTTAAAAAATAAATACAAAAAATTAATATATCAAGAAACAACAGTAAAAGCATTTTTTTTAAAGAGTTTTTTTTGAGAGAGAGAGAGCACGTGCACACGGGGTGGGAGCAAGCAGGAGTTGGGGGTGAGCAGAGGGAGAGCATCTAAAGCATTTTTTTTTAAAGATTTTATTTATTTTTGACAGAGAGAGAGAGTGTACAAGCAAGGGAAGCAGCAGGCAGAGGGAGAGGGAGAAGCGGGTCCTGGGATCGAGCCCCGCATCGGGCTCCCTGCTTAGTGGGACGCCTGCTTCTCCCTCTCCCACTCCCCCTGCTTGTGTTCCCTCTCTCGCTGTGTCTCTGTCAAATAAATAAAATCTATAAATACATACATACATACATAAATAAATGCAAGCTCCAGAAGAAAGGCTAAGAGTTAAAAGTGTATTGATGCAGTCTGTGAAGATGAAAAAGCTTTAGAGGATGATGGTGATGGTTGTGCAACAATGTGAATGTACTTAATACCACTGAACCGTACACTTAAAAAATGGTTAAGATGGCAGTGAAATAAGTCAGACACAAAAGACAGGTGTTAATACAGTTCCACTTATGTGAGGTACCTAGAATAGGGAAATTCATAGGCACATAAAGCAAGTTGGAAGTTACCAGGAGCTGGGGAAAAGATTGGGGAGCGACCACCTTGTGGATTCCCAGTTTCCTTTTTGCAGTGGTGAAAATGTTTCAGAAAGAGTGGTGACAGATGCACAGCATTGTGAATGTAATTAATGCCACTGAACTGTAAACTTAAAAATGATTAAAGTGGCAAATATTATGTCTTGTATATTTTACCACAATTTAAAAAAATAATGTAATATACCCAAACCCATTGAACTGTACAATTTAAATGCATGAATTAGGGGCGCCTGGGTGGCTCAGTCGTCAAGCATCTGCCTTCGGCTCAGGTCATGACCCCAGGATCCTGGGATTGAGCCCCGCTTGGGCTCCCTGCTCTGCGGGAAGCCTGCTTCTCCCTCTCCACTCCCTCCTGCTTGTGTTCCCTCTCAAATAAATAAATAAAATCTTTTAAAAAAATAAATAAATGCATGAATTATCTAATGAGTGAATTTTATCTCAAAACGATTAAAGAAAATTCCTTACACAAATGTTCACAGCAACATGAAAAGTAAAAACAACTCAAATTTCCATCAACTGATGAATGGATAAACAAAATATGGTATACAGGTGACCCCTCGCTTTTCTTTTTCTTTTTTTTTTTAAGATTTTATTTATTTATTTGAGAGAGAAAGAATCAGAGACAGCATGAGAGAGAGGAGGGTCAGAGGGAGAAGCAGACTCCCTGCTGAGCAGGGAGCCCAATGCAGGACTCAATCCCGGGACTCTGGGATCATGACCTGAGCCGAAGGCAGTCGCTTAACCAACTGAGCCACCCAGGTACCCCCCCCCTTTTTTTTTAAGATTTATTTATTTTGAGAGAGAGGGAGACAGCACAGTGGGGAGGGGCAGAGGGAGAGGGAGAGAGCTGCGTCCAGTACGGAGCTAGACACAGGGCTCGATCCCACAACCCCGAGATCAAACCTGAGCCAAACCAAGAGTCAAACGCCCAAAGGACTGCATCACCCAGGTGCCCCAGGTGTCCCCTCACTTTTCAGAAGCTCCCATTAGGCCACTTCGTTTTAACAAAAACCTACATTAGGACCTGTTTTCACTAACCAAAAGAAATCTGAAGAGGATTTTTGCAGCTCACACCCCAAGCAGCGAGACTGGCCCCACCAAGCTCCTTCCCAGGGAGCTACACTCAGCCTCTCAGCATCAAGCTATTAGAGCTTTGAAATATGTGAGCATCTGTGCTTGATCTACATTTATTTTGTGCATCTTTTAGCAAGATGTGTCCTAAGGTATCAGTAAAGCCTAAGAGAGGTTATTTTTGGAATCTGGGAATGCTCAAAAAATTTTCCATATAAATTAATGGTAATTACTTCTTCGCTTTACACGATTTCAGCTTATGAAAGGTTTCACAGAAAAATGTTCTACTTTGGGACAGCAGGGGAAACCTGTATCCATACAATGGAATATTATTCAACCATAAAAAAGGAGTAAGGTACTGAAAAATACTACCTCGATGAACCTTGAAAACATTTTGCTGTCACGAACCAGACACGAAAGTCCACATATTGCATGACTCCATTTATGTGAAATATCCAGAAAAAGTAAATCCACAGAGACAGAAACATTCGTGATTGTCAAGCAATGGAGGCAGGGGAGGATGGGGAGTGGCTATTCCAAGGGTAGGGGGTTTCCTTTAGGAGTGATAAAAGTAGTGATGACAGTTGCATATTGTTAATGTCCTAAATGCTACTGAATTGTAAGGTCTAAAGTGGTTAATTTTTGTTACATGTATTTTACCACAGTGAAAAGTTGTGTAATGATTGAAAAGTGCACAACGAAACATGCAGGGGTCATCAATGCTCTATATTTTGTTTTGGGTGACGGTTAACATGGTTGTATGCATTTGTCAAAACTCAGCGAATTTTACACTGAAGAACTGTGCATTTTACTGTATGTATGATATAATTCAGATTCATAAAAAGAGTTCAACAAAGTGGTCTTTAGGGAACAAGGTGAAAGGGTACAGGGGGCTGCCTTTTTCATTATAATTTTGAATTACTTTTTAAAAAACCACGCATAGTAATTTTTAGAAAATTAAAATGTATAATTTCCCCACTCCGATTCCAACCTCACCAAGCAAAGTTCCTCTTCCTAAACTGCAGTCCAGAGACTGAGAGCCGTCCCGCGGGTGCAAGGAGTCGGGCGCGCCCCGCAGCCGTGGTCTTAACAGTAAACCGTGTACCTGGTTTCTACCTTGGCTGTCCCCAGGGTTTGGCCAGGGTATATGTGTCTCTCACAGGGGCTAGGGACCCGATTCCAGATCCTGCCGTCGGGAGGCATGGAAGGAGACCGTCGAGGGCACAATCCCGAGTTCCACGGACGCGGAGGGTCTCCATAGGTTCCAAAGCCAGGGGACCGAGGTGCTCTTTCCAACGCCCGGCCAACCCGAGATCTGGCGGCGCAGCCTCTTCCTGCTCTGTGGGCCAATCACCGGTCGCCGGGCAGCGCGGGCAAAGAGCGGTGCTGGAAGCCACGGCCCGTCCATCTTTCTTGAGGGCAGGAAGGCTCCGCCCCCCAGTCCATTTTTCCGAGTTCCGTCTCCGCGTCGCCTAACCACCCCCCCCGCAGCGGCCATTGTAGTTGAGGGCAAGTGGCCGCTGAGGCCAGAGAAGCCAGACAGGCGCCATGTTTGATATGATCAAGGAATGGCGCCCTTAAGAGCATCCAGTGACAACTGAAGCCAGGATGTCGCCATATTTTCTGAAGACACCTTCCGGGTCCCTTAACCCGGCTGTCTTAAGTCCAAGCTGCCGTGAAGTGAATAAACACCGAGGGGTTTTGTTTGTCCCCATCACAACCCCCGAATCCCTCGCAGCCAATCCCTGCTACCTCGGTGCCCTCGACTGCGTTCGGACGCCAAGGCTGGGCGGGGCCCCGACCTCCGGAGCCCTTGCTGTGGACGACGAAAGCTGAGGCCGCGCGCGGGGAGGCGGTGGCCTCGGGGACAAGGCGGCCGCTACTCGGGGCCGGGAGGCCCCATGGCGCCGCCCCCAGCCCCGCTTCTGGCGCTGAGACCGGGGGAGACCGGGCCTGGTTACAAGAAGCCCGGGGCCGTGAGCTTCGCGGACGTGGCCGTGTACTTCTCCCCGGAGGAGTGGGGCTGTCTGCGGCCCGCGCAGAGGGCCCTGTACCGGGACGTGATGCGGGAGACCTACGGCCACCTGGGCGCGCTCGGTGAGGCCCCGGGTCAGAGCCCCCCTCCTCCTTCACTGGGGTTCACAGGGGAGATGACATGAGGACCGAGATGATTGTGAGCCCTAATCCCACACTATTCCACCAACAGCACCAGCCACCTCCATTCCCAGGGCTTCAAGTTAGGGAGTGCTTCCACCTGGCATCCGCTTCCTTCAAGCAGGAGCATTGCAGACCCTGTCCAGGTTGAGCCTAAGTTCTGAGGAGGTGCCCTTACCCTGGCAGGGGGATGCCATCTACCCAGGACAGCCTCTCAGGCCAGCACTGTGATCCCTGTTCTCTCCCAGGATTCCCAGGCCCCAAACCAGCCCTCATCTCTTGGATGGAACAGGAGAGTGAGGCTTGGAGCCCCGCCGCCCAGGATCCTGAGGAGGGGGAAAGCCTGGGAGGAGCTCTGAGAGGTGAGGGATTGTCCCAAGTCTCCCCCCACTTGGCGCTCCAGGGCTTCCTGTCTCACAAAATTTTCCTTTGGATCCCCACTTTCAGCAACCCTAAAGGAATTAAAGAGCCCTACCCCCCCCCCCGGCCCATGTTGGATACTAAAGGAGGAAAGAAGGCAGACCTGGTACAAGTTTTCAGAACTTGGGACAGTTAGTCATTTTAGGACCAGCTTAGGAGAATCAGGAACCCAAGTCCCAGACTCAGGTTTCTAGGGCCCTCTTGGAGAAAACACCACTCATTCTCCCCTTTTCAAGAACGACTAAAACCCCCTAGGAATGGAAGCAGCTTCAGGTCCTCCTTTCACATTCCTCAAGCAAGGCAAAGTGGTACAAGAGGAAATGCCCACTAATCAACAGGGTGGCTCTTCTCCCCTCACCATCCCCTAGCAGAGTGATCTTGAGCAAATATGTTTCCTCATCTGCAGAAGTCTTATCCTATAAAAAATCGAGCAAACACAATAATACTAGCTATCGTTTTATTGAGCATTTACTAAACGCCTAACATGCTTCTCCTGATTTAATCCTCCTAACCCTGTGAAGTAAAGAAACCATCGATTCCCATTTGAAACATGAGAGGCAAGGCCCGGATAAGTCACTCTTAGGAGATGTGAACCGTATTTATCATCCTGCAAAGCCTGTGTGTCAATTGCTGGGCAGGACTTTTCTGCCACTTCCCGAAGTATAAGAACCCTATAACCTGAGATGGTGTAAGCAAATGTGTTTTAAAATGTACCTTGGGGGGCGCCTGGGTGGCTCAGTCGTTAAGCGTCTGCCTTCGGCTCAGGTCATGATCCCAGAGTCCTGGGATCGAGCCCCGCATCGGGCTCCCTGCTCCGCGGGAGGCCTGCTTCTCCCTCTCCCCTTCCCCCTGCTTGTGTTCCCTCTCTCGCTGTCTCTCTCTCTGTGTCAAATAAATAAATAAAATCTTAAAAAAAAAAATGTATCTTGGGACGCCTGGGTGGCTCAGTCGGCTGAGGTCATGATCCCAGGGTCCTGGGATGAGTCCCGCATCGCATCAGTTTCCCTCTCTCTCTGCCTGCCGTTCCCCTCCCTTGTGTTCTCTGTCAAATAAATACATAAAATCTTTAAAAAATAAAATGTATCTTAATTCCCGTTTCCCAGGAGACACCCCAAACAAGAAGGAAGAGGCACCGCAGGAAGGGCCAGGAGCCAAGGGACCCAGAAAGCCTCCCGGGAAGGAGCCTTCTAGAGAGCTGGTTAAACACAGCCCTGACTGGACCATCGGACAATTTTCGGCCAGAGCACAGCGGCCCACCAGTGCTGCCTGCAGCCAGAGCACAGGCGTGCAGCCGTCGGGCCCGGCGCCCGGCCTGGGCACACAGGACAGCCAGCGGCGACATGTGTGTGCAGACTGTGGCCGCCGCTTCACCTACCCCTCACTGCTGGTCAGCCACCGGCGGATGCACTCGGGGGAGCGGCCCTTCCCCTGCCCGGAGTGTGGCATGCGCTTCAAGAGGAAGTTTGCCGTGGAGGCGCACCAGTGGATCCACCGCTCCTGCTCGGGGGGGCGGCGGGGCCGGAGGCCTGGGATCCGGGCTGTGCCTCGGGCTCCGGTGAGGGGTGACCGGGACCCTCCCGTGCTGTTCCGACACTACCCGGACATCTTTGAGGAGTGCGGGTGAGCTGCCCCCACAGCCTGGGGTTGAGCCTGACCTTGGACTGCCTGAGCCCTGAGGGAGGCTCTGGAGGCAGGGATTTGGGAACCGAAATTCATCCCTTGGGCTTCCCTCAAGGATCCCTCAAGTTTCAAAACTTGTAAAAAGAAAAGTGCCTGTAAAGATGCAAATAGATTATACTTGACACTACTCCCCCCAGTCTTTCTAAAAAAAAAAAAAAAAAGAAGAAGAGAGTGAGATGCTGGACTTTTCTCAAAGTGTTAATCTCAGCAGCAGGTGCAACCAAGATCTTACCGTTGTCTCAAAAACCTTCCCTTGCTGCTTCTGTACATCAGAGGCAAATGCTGAGGGGACTAAGGCCTGAGGAGGGCTCCCCCCGCTCCGGGACCCAGGGCATGCTCAGGCCCCGGCTAGCTGACAGGAGCAGGGAGCCTGGGAAGTGAAGTGGGTGGAAAGAGTACAGAAGCACAGATCTAGTCTCTGCAACTTGTCCCCAGGCACAGCTTGCAAGTCACATGCCGTCCCTGAGCCTCAGCTCCCTCATCTGTAAAATAAAGATTAAAAATATCTACCTCAACGGGTTACTGTGAAGGCTGAAATTTTAACAAGATAGTATGTAGGACAGAGTCAATGTGCAATAAACATTTGTTGAAAGAGTGAATTATCGTTGACATTTTATGCTTCCGAAAATGTAAAGAAGCCTGCTAAAGAGGCAGGGCATGGACATCAATAGCCGTATTTTGCAGATGAGTAAACTGAGGCTCTGAGAGAGAAAGTGATTTTCTCAAAGTGTCACTGCCATAAGGCAGCAAAGCTGGAAACTGACACAGTGCCTAGATACCTACCACTTTCTATGGGCAGTCACTTCTGGGCAGAAAACAGAGCAGGGGCTCAGGTGAGGGTGAGGTGAAAACTGGAGTCTGGCCAGGGGCCCAGCCCTGCCTTCCTGGGGGAGTCTCAGCAGGAAATGGAGAGTCCCGCCAAGGCCAGTGACCTTTCACTTAGAAAGTGCCGGCAACATTCAGTGGCCATAGATTGAGTGGCTTCTGTGGGAGCAACTACTAGGTGGTAAGGGAGTTCCGGGATGAGGCAGGCTGATCCCATTCATTCATTCACTCAGCTCTGGGACCCAGGGCATGCTCAGTTTTGTGCTGGGCTCCAGGGACCCTCAGACTCATTCATTCATTCATTCGTTCATTCATTCATTCAGTAAACACCATATGAGGCCTCTGTGGGGTTTTGTGCTGGGCTCCAGGGACCCTCAGACTCATTCATTCATTCATTCGTTCATTCATTCATTCAGTAAACACCATATGAGGCCTCTGTGGGGTTTTGTGCTGGGCTCCAGGGACACTCAAACTCAGGTCCCATGTTCCATGGTGATTGGGGCTATGCTGGAAGAAGTCCAGAGGCACCACCTAACCCTCCTGGCTGGTGATCCACCAGGAAATGCAGCTTGGAGAAGGAGATGGTTATGCTTCCCATAACATGAGTACGAATTCTTTTTTTTTTTTTTAAAGATTTTATTTATTTATTTGACAGAGAGATAGAGAGAGAGCACAGATAGAGTGGCAGGCAGAGGGAGAGGGAGAAGCAGGCTCCCCGCCGAGCAGTGAGCCCGATGCGGGGCTCGATCCCAGGGCCCCGGGATCATGACCCGAGCCGAAGGCAGACACTCAACCGACTGAGCCACCCAGGCGCCCCACATGAGTAGGAATTCTAATAGAAATAATAGGAATAGTAGAGTAGGAATTGGTGTGAGGGGAGATTTTCAGGCAAAGGGAGCCTTGTTTCATAGAAAGGATGAAAAATGGGCACAGTGTGGAGTCAGTGCTTGCCCCGCCTCTCTGTGCCTTAGTTTCTTAATCTGTGAAACCTGCATAATAATAGCACCTGCCTCCTAAGAGTGATGTAAGGATTAAATGAGAGAATACCGAAGAAGGCCTTGCACGTTAGTGTTTAATAAACACTGGTTACTGTTATTCTAAAAGAATATAAAAGAGTATGTGAGGAGGACAAAGAGGAGACATGGGCAGATCTCCTGAATCAAGGAAGGTTTCCTGGAGGAGGAGGTTCAAACTGGCCTTGAAGGATGGGAAAGATTTCAACCAGGTTAGGCATGTATAGGGAATGGTCAGCAGTGCCACCTGAGTGAAACATAAAGAACTAGGTAAAGGGTCATAGAAGACACATGCAGCAATCTGGGAAGGCCCAAGATCCCTGAAGGAGGGCTTGAGGTTTACCCAGTAGGCACTGAGGAGCCATAGACAGGTCTTGAACAGGAGCAGGGCTATTTGACCAGTTCTGTCCGAAGATGTGACTTGTGCAGGAGACTAGACTAGAGATCTGTTGGGCATCTGCTCCCAGGTAGAGGTGAGCAGGAGCTGGGACCAGGCTAAAAAGCAACACTTTTTCTTGCAGTTGCCCTTGTTTGCTGACCTCGGGTTTGGGGAGAAAGATATTGAGGACAGGCTTCTGCCACAGAATCTGCATGGCTCAGTGACTGACAATAGGAGCTGTGAACAAGTACGTCCCAGGGGGTTCAAGCATGGCGAGCTGGAGTAAGGGAGCCTGAGGGCCTGGCGAGGGGCAATCAGTCAGGAGTGGGACAGTGTGGAGGACAAGCGATGACCAGTACTGGAGAGGGGTGAGGCGAAGAGAAGGTAGAACTGGAGAGGAGAGGCACCATGAGGGAGGGGGGAGCAGAACCCGGCATAGTGTATCAGGCAGAGTTGCCCAGGTCAGCATACGGCACAGAGTGAGTGCTGTCTGCTTTCTTTCGCGTTTATCCATTTAACAAATACCTACTAAGCATCTGCCATGTACCAGGCACTACTCTGTGTGCCAAGATAGAGCATGGAAAACAGACATAGGAACTGTTTTGGAGCTTATGTTCGAGAAGGGTGGGGTAAAGCAAGGGATAAGCCAGCACATAAGTAAGACAGACAAGTGGGGCACCTGGGTGGCTCAGTCAGTTAAGCATCTGCCTTTGGCCCGGGTCATGATCCCGGGGTCCTGGGATCGAGCCCCATGTAGGGCTCCCTGATCAGCGGGGAGCCTACTTCTCCCTCTCCCCCTGCTCGTGCTCTTTCTCACTCTCTTAAATAAATAAATAAATAAATAAATAAATGAATAAATAAATAAATAAAAATAGATAAAATCTTTCCCCCCCCCAAAGTAAAACAGACAAGTGATAAGCCAGCGCAAGTCAGACAAGTTATTATAATTGTAAATAATAAGTACCACCGAAGTACTAAAACAGAGGATGTCCTCAAAGTGCCCGTTGCAGACAGGTACTTAGGCCAGGTCTTGGTGCGGAGCGGAGGAGACATCTGAACTGAGATCCAAATGATGAGAAGGAGCCAAGGCTAAACAGGGGTCAGGTGGCAGGATGTGGGAGTGGGGGAGGGTTTTAGAGGCTGGGAGTTGGGGGGGGCAGTGATTCCAGACAGAGGCAATAGCAGGTGCCATGCTCTGAGGTAGGGGTAAGTTTGGGTGAGGTGCAGAAAGGACCCTGGTGGCTGGACTGAGGAACTGAGTGGAGCAGAATCACAGATGAGCTTGGAGGAGGGGGAAGGGAGCAGATCAGAGAACTCTAGCTTGCCACGATGTCAAGTCTGGGTTTGATTCTAAACATACTGGAAAGCCACTGGGTCGTGTTTGTTGTTGCCTTGTGGTAAAATATACGTAACAAAATTTACCATTTTAAGTATTTTTTTTTAAGTATACAGTTTAGTGGCATAAAGTACAATCATGTTGTGTGCATCCATCAGCCCTCTCTAGAACTTTTCCATCTTCCCCAGCTGAAACCCTGTACCCATTAAACACTAAGTCCCCACTCCTCCTTTCTCCAGTCCTTGGCAACCACCATTCTATTTTCTCTCTCTATGAGTCTGACTATTCTAGGGACCTCATATAAACCCCCGGGAGGTTTCAAGCAGAGTGGCAAGGTGATGTGACTGGCAAACCCACTCTGGTTGCTCTGAGAATGGACTGCAGCGGGCAAGCGGAGGGCAGATGGAGTACAGAAGGCCGGACGTAAACACTGGGAGCTGAAGGGACAGGACCTGTCTGTGGGCTGGATGTGGGGCTGAGAGCCTCAGAGGAGCCAGGAATGATGATAAGATTTTTGGCTGAGTGAGGAGGAGGATGGAGGGGCCAGTTCCTGGGGTGGCCCAGGGTTGGGAGGCGGTGACAGGGTGGGACCGCAGCATTTTAGACCTGGAAGGGAGCTTTTGGGAGCTGCCTGGCTCAAAGGTTTAAGCAGGGTTTAGGAAGCTGTGGGTGGAATAGGTTTCTTTGCTGAGGAGATTCTCCAGGGAACATGGGGAAGAATGTTTGATTCTTTCCACAAGCTTTCACGTAAATACTGTTGCACAGATTACGCTCTGAGAAAGGCTGAGGCCCAGAAAGGGGAAGGCCCTTACTTAAGATCACACAGTTGAAGTAGTCAGAGGCAGGCCTGGAACCCAAATCTCCGGATTTCTCAGTGGATGTTCTTGCTCTTTTCACTACACCAGGCTGCAGTGTCGATGGATGGGAAAGGCAAAAGGCTGGAGGCCCAGAGATCAGCCAGGCCACCCAGGCCTAAATCAGCAAGAGCCTGATTTAGAGGAGCCCACTGGTGAGAGCTGCAACAGGGTACCTTTTGTGAAGCCCGTCCTCACCCTTCCCCCAGGGCAATTTCACATACCTTCTAAACACCTGAATGACATTTTTTTTTTTTTTGCCATGACATGACCCTTAAACACAACCCTTTTACTTACTTTCAGTACTTACCATAGCTCATCATTTAAGGTTTTTTTTCTCTTTACATTTACATGACAGCATGGAATCGTATAGGTGACCAGAAGCAGCTCTTCTGACCTTCCAGGCTGCCGCTCCATGTCATGCCGCACATTTCAACTGCATCTTGGTAGCCTGGCTTAAAATCCTACCTCGCCCTGTGGTTGCTGAGATTGGACCTTCAATTATTCAAAGCATTACAGCATGGGTTCTGGAGTTAAGACTGCCTGGGTTTGAATCCTGGCTTCACCACTTACTAGCTGGGTGGTCTGGGGCAAGGTCACCGCTCTGTGCCTCAGTTTCCTGATCCAGAAGGATACTTATCTCTGAGGGATTGTGAGAGTTCAATGAGTTAACAGGCAGAAGCACTTAGAACAGTCTGGTATATACTAAGTGATCAAGTAAGGTAAACTAATATGATTAATGTCTTAGATCTATCACAGAACCAACTGCATCCCTTGCATAGTCGGCCATTGTTCTCTTAGAGGAGCTTTGACTTGGGAAGTCTGGGGGCACCTTCAAACCGAGTGTTAAAACAAATAAGTCAGGGCCGCCTGGGTGGCTCAGATGGTTAAGCTCAGGTCATGATCTCAGGGTCCTGGGATCGAGTCCCACATCGGGCTCCCTGCTCCTTGGGAGCCTGCTTCTCGATCTGCCTCTCTCTCTCTCATGCT